TACTTCACATTTTACCTTTTGCTTTTTATATTTGTCACTTATTTCTTTTTCTGTATTTCATCAGCTTCTCCATCTTGAAGTTTCTTGGTTCCTTTCCTTTCAACATGTTCACCCTTCCTTCAAATATTTCATCTTGCGATTCAGTTCTTTTTTATTCTGTTTAAATGATCAAGCTAACAGATGACTCATACTGGTCACTTACTTTTATATTTGATCTCTCATGAGTCATTCTTAATTCTGTCTCTTCAGTCTCACCACATACTGCCTCACCACATACGCTTCTTAAGCATCCTTCATCCAATATATTTTTCTATTTTCCATCTCATACCCAAGTCTCATTTCCATATAGCAAAGATAGTAGAAGCACTCTCTTATACAACTAACAATAATTCCTCACAATATATTACATACTACTATTACCTATCAGCATTTGCAGATCTTAAATTTTCTCCATATTCTCATCTTTAGTAAATACTACACCATCTCTGATCCATTGGGTACATTTCAGAGATACTTCCTTATCTAAATAGAGAACACAATGACCACAGATGTGCAAGAAATCAGTGGGGGGATCAGGAGTGACTTCCAACTTGACTTCCCTGGTGAGTTTCCACGTGGGAAGCTGGCAGTGAGCATCGGAAATCTCCCCACCCTTCCTTCTTTCCTCCCTCCCTCCCTCGCAGTAATTCATAAGCCTGCCTGCAACTCAGTTGTATTTTTGATGTCTTTAAAATGTATTTTGTTTCAGCTGAAGTGCTGTAAGATAGAGTGATTATAGGTAAAAAAAAGTGTCATTGTGAAGTAATTAACAGTTTTTTCTACTGAAAAGAGAGTCTTGTGATGCCCACTGACTCCTGTGATTGCTTATTGATCAGGGAGTTATGATACTGAGACAAGCCATTGTTATAGTTCAGTTATCAAAGTAGTACATTGCCAAATAATGTGACCTTTCGACATGGGATCAAGATGGGAATAAAGTAAAAATTGTACACAGTGGTAAATCCAGCAATCTAAACCAAAGAAAGCTAGATGGATTCTTGTCCTTGCCTGTGCTACATAATTGCTGCCAGCAGAATATTTCATCTGTGATTTAAATCTCTGTAATAAAATTAAAATTCTGAAATATTGATCGTAAAATAATGTTAACGTATAATTTTGTGAAACTGTGACTCAAAGAGAAAAAACATTTGCTCTGAGTTGAGACAGCTGAACCAGATTTCTTTTTTTAAAACCTGCGCTTATAACAAGAGGTTTTTTTTTTTTAAAGGCCTTTCTGTGGTCTCCTATAACTTCATTTATAACAAGAAATAAAAACGAATTTAAAAAGAACTTATAGTAATGGAATGACCTCCCCAAAATTAGAAAGAATGGAAAAACAAAATTTTGCCTCTGTTCTTATAAATGAATGTATATATACAGTTTTGGGTAAGAGTCCTGCCTGGTAGACCCTTGTCAGAGTTTATAAGTATAGAAAAAAGTCTAGGACAATATTTTTCCAAGGCACCATTTACTGAATAACCAAATAGCTATCCTTCACAACATATACAGTATGTTCATACTTACATACTACTTTTACAGCACAGCATTAATCTTCATTTGTGTAATAGTTCCTGCAGTTTCACTTCAGAGACATCTGCCTGGTGTTAACATTATTTTTTCATGCCGAAGACATTTTTATTAGGTCTATGTGAAGCAACATAGATTCCTTATTGAAGTGAAGAGGTTTTTACCTCAACAAAACAATTTGACCTTGAACTACTTCATGTCAGTATTGCAAGACAAGACTCCTCTCATCCTTCTCCCCTAGTACTGGTTGAAGCATTTTCAGACTGGATGGCTTTGAAATTATACCCAGACTAAAAATGACATGGTCATTTGCTTTTAGAAGTAAAGGAATAATACATCTTCATGAAACACCTTTCAGGAATTGCTTCTTTAGAAATTCATTGAAGTCTAGTACATCAACATTTGCATGCCCACATTTTTATTAATATTAAGATTCAGATTTTACTAGACTGAAAGTTGCTTTACTTTGCTTTTAGTTACTGCATTTTTAAAATACCTTTAGAGTTTTGCTCATTTCTTAATATATAAAATTTATACATAACATGTGGCGCACTATCAAAAATGTGTCTTCCTCTCACATCTATCTATATTCCCTTGTCACAATTTTTTATCTATTTATATTAGTGCTACATACTAAGGAAGAAATGGAAATCAGTTATGAGAGAGGCTGCAGCCATTTAATTAAATGAGGTAAAATGTTTTTCTAGTGGCTGTATGCTGTTTTGATGGAATTTCATATGTTAAAAAAACAACTTTAAAAAAAATAATTCCTTTTATCCAGGCAAGTTAGAGTCACATTTTTATTTTAAAGTAATAAATACTACTAATATTATGACCAAGGGACTAATGTTGAAAACTTTCATTTGTACTTGTTTTTACTAAAATAAAGTCTCTTTTAATGATTTTTTTTTCATTTATTTTGCAGACTAAAATAAAGTCTCTTTTAATGATTTTTAACAAGGACAATCCTGCCTGTTTGTCCTCACATATTTAAGTAGAATTTAGGCTTATTTGTGCATTATATTCTGCAGATAAATCCTACATTGAACAGTTTGAACTAGAAAACTATAAAGATCCATTTTCACATAACATATGTACACTAGAAAAAAATATATCAATAGTTATTCTACTTTAAGTGCTCCTTACAAAACAGCTTTTCTGTGTTACCTTTTATTGTAAAGAGTAAGTTTCATCTTTGTTCATATGTGAATTGTATTTGCCAAAGCTGTAATAAAATGTTGAACAATTAAAGCAATAAAATAAAAGATAAATATAAATGGATAAATGGAAATATAAATGGAAAAACAACACAGTTTAAATTTAATTTTATTATTTTTGCATGTATTTTGTTTATCCTTTGAACCAATTAATATTTTAAAACTAAATACAACTAATAGTATTTTTATTACCTGTAATGATTGGAAGAAAGCTTTTATAATTATAAAGTTTTCACTGATATCTGTATTTGGAATTGGAACATTTGGAACATTTACTTGAAAGAAACTTCATCCATGAACATACAATCTGTACACTATATTTCTTTAGGGCATAAATATTTCAAGAAGGCCAAATGGGTGTAGTGGTTATTAGGCTAGAAACCAAGAGACTATGGGTTCTAGTTCCATCTGAGGCACAAAGCCAGCTTGGTGACCTGACTTTCAGTCCTAGGAAGGAGGCAACAGCAAACCCATTTCAAAAGAATTTTTTTTTTCCAAAAAAATTGCAGGGACTTGTCCATACAGTCACCAAGAGTTGACATTGACTTAAAGCCACACATACATTTTTTAAGAATTACTGTTCACTGCTCATAAAATAGCATCCAGTACAAAGATAAATATATGGTAAAATTTAAATTGTCCCTGTTGCATCCGCAAGCCACGCCGTTGCTAGGCACGATGCAGAAGCTTCTCCCATTGGCTAAGATGCGACAGCTCAGCTGACGGGAGAATAAACGCACGCCATTGGTTAAACAGTTTGACAACTGCTATATAAATAGCAGCTTGACAGAAAGTTGTTATTGCCAGTTCCTCATTACTTGTTGCATGTTAGCTGTTACCCTAATAAAGGGATTTACCTTGAAAACCGTCTCGTCTCAGTTTCTACCTACCCTCGTTCTCCCAAATAGAACAGTCCCACTCATTAGTACAAGCATAATATGCCATGTTGTACTTATGTTTAATCATACTACTCTTAATATTATGGTTTTAATTATGCTTGTAGTTTATAGCAGAAGAGCAAAGATACTGTTTGGAATCATTCTGAAATTTGAAAAATGTCCAGGAGAGCACATTAACGCTTGACAGCTTGCTAATTTTATTTCTCTTTATTCTCTTTTCTTTGCCTTTTTTATTATTTTTATCGTACTGTGTATTTGCTGGTTATACTTGTGTTCTGTATATTGCTGACCAGCACTGTTATTGTGGCTAAAAGATTTTCAGTCAGCAGAGTTCAAAATGAAATATATAAAAACCTCCTCAGGTGGTTTCAAAATTTAGTTTCTGTCATGTTAGTGCAAATTTCTGACTTCAGGGAGCCATGACTCGAATGGTGGCATTTCAGCTGTAATCTCTGCTTGCTGACTGCTGCTACAAAAATAAAAATTTGAGCCATAATATTTAATGAAATCCCTTCAGATTAAGCACTCACTGTGCGGAAAAGAAATGTTATCAAGCTTTTTTCTGTACTAGTTAGCATAAGGGTTGATTTTTTAGGGAGAGAGTGTCGAAGAGACAGAACTATGAGTCCATCAATAATTTACATTTTTGTTACCTGGTATTTGGGATTCTGTTGCCATAGCAATCCATCTGTGCCTGAAGGGATAGTATTTTAAATGGAGATTGTGATAGGATCCACATTTAAACTGTGTGCTAATCTATAGATCTGTGCTATAACTTCTTTTGGCTCTGGTAAATCATTGCTAATTTTTACAAAGTATTTTATAGCTTCTTGAAATAATGAAGTGTAAAATAAAAGAAGTTAAAATTACAGACACAAAAGTTTTATTAAATGTACTGCGTAAAGTTGGTAAGCATCACATGCTGTTTAGGACTAGACATTTTTCTGGGAGATTAAAATGCAACAGACATTATGGTAGGATCTTGATTTACTCAGAAACAATCCTGCTACTTAGCTACATGCATTTTGGATTATGAACTGAGACTGCTGTCTAGATTATTAGTACCTTCTTTAGAGTTTTGCTGCCTAAAGGAACAAATGCTTTATGATTTTCTTCCTTCATATTAGAACCAGCAGTTAAAATATAATGTTGATACACCACACACCTACCACTTCTTGCCTTCATTTACTGACCCTTCATATTTTCAGTCGAAATAGACCATTTATCTGAGTGAATAAGCCCAAGGACATTTTGTTCATTTTGAACATTTCTTGGACTGTTTTTCTACATAAATAATATAGGAATATGTGATACCTATTCTTTTATTGGATGGTCGTCTCTCTGTTCCTATCATTGTAGAAGTCCATACTATGCAACTGGGATGATCATTGTATGGCAAATTCAAGCAGATGGAGAGTTCATTGGTAATTTGTCATCTAAGGGCCATTTCAGAGTTTATGAGCCAAACAGCCAGGACTATTCATCTTTCGATAGCTTCCTAAAAAAGTATCAAAGTAAAATGAAAACAGTATATGTTAGTAATCCAACTATCAATTTAAGGAGGACATACTTGTAGTCTCTCCATGCCTTGGTTTATAGATGATTATTTGTAATTTTTTTTTATGATATAATGAAGTTCTTCTGTTTTATATGCTCTATATAATATCTCATTTCTAAGCACAAAACAAACCAAAAGAACCCAGAAAATCTTAACAATATTTAATTTATATACCAGTTTAATTTTGGGGAAATGATCTGTTTGTTACAGTTTCTAAATATAGCAGTTCATTTAATTCAAGCTTACTGATGAGCAGAAAGTTACTTCCCCCTTGGAAAGTTAGAGTTCAGTCCTAGGCAGCGGCAGATTTCAGGACACAAAGAGAAAATATCTGCTGTGAACTTTGGATAGCCAGTAAACACTCAGCTCCGATCAGTCACCCCAGCTCCACCCCAAAACAAAGAGATTAAAGGGTCATTAAAAACAAAATAATAATAATGATTCAAGACTACTATGTGGCTGAGCATTTTGAACTTTTCCCAAGTTTTCTTTTTAGACATAGAATCATACAGCTGGAGGGGAGAACTGAGGAATCCAAGGCTGTTTGCTTTTTACAGGGAGTAGTGATGATGGGGTACCCACTATAATGATTATATGGTCTCATATTAGGAATTCACATAACCCATACAATTTTATTTTCTAAATATAGTGGGCTGATGACACATATAAGTACATAAATTCTACAAAATCCGTTATTCCATTAGTTCTTTCCTATGTATTCATTCAATATGTAATGCCGAGGGTTTTTTTTCCATTTCCTTCTGCTGTTGACTAATTCCTTCATTCTATTTGTCTTCAGGCTTCAGCAGAATCAAATCTCAGTGAAATCACTCATTCCAATCCATAGAATTTTATGAGTAAATTAAACATATGATGCACATTATGTACTTGATTGCTCCAGAGTCTTGAAAGAATTCTTTCTAGTTATGAAAATATACTGAATATACTGATGTGATATTGCAAAAGGCAGGCTAAAATCATTATATTCTATTTCTCACAAAAACAAAAGATTTTTTTTTAAAAAAAAATCTTGTCTTCTCTGAAACATTATTAAAATGAATTCAGGATCTTGTAGTTGACAGATGTTGCAAGAACAGTTTAGGAAATACAGTTGTCATTACAAGATTTCACCCTGTGCAGTGGACTCTCAGGAAACATAGCCATGGATGGCTGATTTAATGTTCCAGTACGTTATATAAAGAATTATTGGTTAGATATAAGAAGATGGAAGCAAATGGACACTACTTTTGCAAAATAATATTTTATTGTCCCTGTTTTTTATGAGAAAGCAATGATTTCAAGAATTGAAATTAGAATTGGAGATAAGAGTTTTACTATTATGGGATGGGATAGGGCAGTTTATCTTTATGGGATCTGATATATATATAGAGGGAGGGGGAGAGCTAGGTGAAATATTTTAAAATAAAGAGATAAAATTAATGTCTTTCTTATGTTCATCTTATATAATTACATGATATGTGGTGCAAATGATTATGAGACTGATTAAAATTTAAATATTGTATTATTGATTTTCAACTTTCCTTACACTACTTTTATATTTTTAAAATATTACAGTGTTGTTTTAAAAAGTATATCCATTTAAATCAGCAGTTTTTCTTCTGCCTCATGTTCTCCTGTCTTTTACTCTCAACAGAGTTTTGCAAGGCCAAAACTTAAAAGTTAATAGCAAACCATGTAAGCCATGTAACAGCAAATTAATTTTGCAATGGAAGTATTTATAATAACTAATGTGGTTATGTAAGAAAAGCTGACATAGTCCCCACCCCCATCTTTACCATATAAAAGTTCATTAATTACCCTCACCCTTACAAAACAATACTTGGGATTTTATTTTTATTTTTACAAAACATCTGTACAAACATGTAACAATAATAAGCAAAGATAGCATTATGAAAGAAACATTTTTTTCTCACTGAAGATTACCTATACAACTCCTATGTAAAACTCTGTAGAATTGTGTGTACGTAAAAACTGTTCCTTGTACACAGCCTAAAAAATTATCCTAACCATTTCATCTGATAAATTGTACTGAAGATGATTAATTAATTTAAAATGCCACAATACTATTTCCCCTTTTCCTATAGTTGTGGCCAGTCAATATTAACTGTAGCAGATAGTGGCAGACATAAGACATAAATCTTATTATATGCCAGGGATAGCCAGTCTGTGTCCCTAGTCTAAATGTGATCCTTGGATCAATTTCTTGCAGACTTTGGTCTAAACTGCTGGGTGCAGAAGATCAGTTGAAACCAAGACTTCTCTGTTTCTACCATGCAGGCTTCTGCTTGTGAAAGAGAGTAGAAAATATCAAAGGAAAAAAAGAGATAGCAGAAGACAGGAAAAATACCCTTCTCTATCTAATGACCTATTCTTTGGGGTTCTATCTTCTAATTACTTCTGTTGCTTATACATGCTCCAGACTGATTCTCTACAAATCCTGATGAAATTTCATGATCTTACTACAAGTGCATGGCCTTTCAGATGTAGTTATTCATATAAACTCTGAGTATTGGTCATACTGGGTTTCTCTATTATAGGCTGCCATTTTCATTTGATTGGTTTAAATTTATTCCCAGGAAGACCATAAACTGCCCATCTCTGTTCTTCCATTCATAACTATTTTTATAGAATAGTCTGCCTTTATATTGTTTAATATAGTCAATAACATTTCCTTGGATGTTTTGTTCTTACAGGAAGGTGAATTTAGAGAAAAAGAAGATATCTTGAACCACATCATCAACAGTAAGTCAGTTTTCACCATACTTTAAAACACAGCATTTTGATTCAATTTTCTGTCCAGTCTAGTTTTCATTTTACTTCTTTACTTTTATGGTGTAAGAAATTAGTATGACATGCTATGCAATATCCATCTTCTCTTCAAACTCAATTTCATTTCTGTGGAATGGATTTTTTTTTATTCATTTATCCGCTAATCCTCTTAGATAAAAGACTAAAATAATCCCTTCTATGTGTCTGTGTTCCACCACATAGGAAAAGATTGGTATGACTGCCTTCTTGACAAGGATACTACCAGTGATAGGAAGCAACCTAATTAAAAAGGAAATGGCAAATCTTTTCATGCATTTTACCTGTTAAGGGGATTCTTTATGAACGCTTTTCCTTTGAATATATTTCTGCCAAGTGTGGAATACATATTTTTATATCCTCCAATACTTTGAAGTTCTTGCTTGCTATTTATCTTCAGGGCTGCTTGGAATCAGAAAGGTAGATAGAATATTGCCAAGTTCTGTTCACTTACGCACAGAGGTATAATTGTACTGTAGGAAAGGTACAAGAATGGTCAGTCACATATGATCGGCCTCAGACAGTGACATTGTTTCTTTGCAAAGGGACACCTTGTAATATTGCTTCAGGATTATGCTTTTCTTAGAAACGGACCTCATGCAGAGTCGCACATAGTTCTGTGCTGTGCAAGTAACAGACTCTTTTCCACCCCTCATTTTTAAGTATTGTTAGCCACTCAGAATCATGTATTTTAAATGGGCAGGCATAGAAATTGAATAAATAAATAACATATGCCCAGTGGTGAAATCTAAAATTTGTTACTACTGGTTCTGTGGGTGTGGCTTGGGGAGGTTAATGTGACTGGGTGGGCGTGGCCAATTTTTTTTTTAAACTTTTAAAACCATTTTTTCTACAACCTCTTTGGCCGAAGAGGTTGTAAAAAAATGCTTTCAAAAGGCTCTGACAATTCCAGCTGAGTTGCCTGATCGGCAGAGGCTTTTTTTCTTTTAAAAGCCTCTGACCGTCAGGCAAGTCAGCTTGGATCGTCAGAGGCTTTTAAAAGAAAAAAAGCCTCTGCCGATCAGGCAACTCAGCTGGGATCGTCAGAGCCTTTTAAAACCATTTTTTTTTTACAACCTCTGAAGAGGTTATAGAAAAAATGCTTTTAAAAGCCTTTGACGATCCCAGCTGAGCCGCGTGATCATCAGAGGCTTTTTTTTTACTTTTAAAAGCATTTTTTCGGCCGAAGAGGTTGTAGAAAAAGTGCTTTTAAATTTTTTTTTTAAAAAAGCCTCTGATAATTGCGTGGCTCAGCTGGGCGGGGGGGGAGGGATTTTTGCTACCGGTTCTCTGAACCACCCGCCTCCATCACTACCGGATCACATGATCCGGTCCGAACCTGGAGCATTTCACCCCTGCATATGCCTGAATCTTACAATGGGAAGATGGTTGTATATACTTGTTTCAGTTTTTATTTCTATTTAATATCATTAAGTTTGAACTCTTTTATTCTTTGGTATAATAAGTGCTGATCTAAAAACAAGAAGACTGTGAGTTCTAGTTCTGCCTTGGGCATAAAAGCTGGCTGGTTGACTAATGTTAAGGTTCAAATAAATACAATTACAATTTTTTCTTTCAGACCAAATATAAAAACAAACCTTTTACTATCCCTCAGCATTGTGATTATAGAATGCAAATGCCTAACAATAACTATATACCTATAGAAATGGAACTATGCAATGACTAAAGATAAAGGTTTCTCTGTCCAGTCGTGTTTAACGCTAAGGGGCAATTTTCAACTCCTTTTCTTGGCCTAGAGAGCCAGCATTGTCCAAAGACATTTCCTGCGGCCAGCATGGCTGTATGCCGAAAGCGCTCTGAATGTTGTTATCTTTCCACCAAAGTGGTACATATTAATCTACTTGCATCTAGATGCTTTCAAACTGCTAAGTGGGCAGTAGCTGGGGTGAGAATGGGAGCTCATCCCGTTGTGCAACACTTGGGTTTTGAACCCAGTTGGCTAGCTCAACATCTTAACCACTATGCCATCACGCCCCCTCAAATGCATTGGCTATTCAACATATATAATATATATTTTTTAACAGACCATTGTGACTGAATCTCAAGAAATGAAATCAAAGCTAAATTAGTGTTAACCTCCATCTATATCTATTTTTTCTTTCCTTTTTAAACAATAAGTATAAATATTTATAATTATAAATATAATATTTTACTAGCAGTAGAGCATTTTCCTTTATTATTTCTTCAAAATGAATTGCAAAAATCACTTCTTTCTATATCACAAATGCTATAAGCTCCTTTGATACTTGAAATAGCATAACTTTCTTAAATTCACAACATAGATTTGCAGGGGACAGGTAATGATGATATAGATTCAACAGTTATTTCTTCAAAATATTTACTATAGGGATCTATTTTATTGCTTTAGAAAGCTCTATCATAGCAGACGTTTGAAAGTTACAGAGAGAGAAGAAAAATACATGGATTGTAGGGTGGTAGAATGACAGATATTTGAGTCAATAATCTGTTCATTCAGCAACATTAGTAGTTTGGATTGATCCAATTTAGGGAGAAGCCATTGGAAAACTTGTTTGATACAGATTATGTGTATGTGAATCAGGTTTAGTTGAACTGAAGATTCAAGATTTGACTAGCAGATTATTCAATTCCAGTTTTCATTATGAGATTCAAAGGTAAACATATTGAAGCCATCTTGAGTTTTGATTTGATAAAACATGCTATAAAAACATTTGATAGAACTGGGTAAAGACAAAACAGATAGTAACATTAGATAACATTAAATCTGTCAATCTTCAATTGAATGCCTTCAAGGATTATCCAACTTCAGTTTCAATATATGTTCCAGCTTTTTAAAGGCAATGTTGTTAGAGGACAGGATAACATTTTATCTTGCAAATTATATAAACCTTCTCTGCAGAAATTGTGCTGAACCAATACTGCTAGTGTTTTACTCCAACTATTTTAACAATAATATACTTTTGATGAAATATAATGCCAAAAAGAAGCTGACACAAAATCATATTGATAGCCTTGTCATTCCCTTTTTCTTAAAAGCAGTTTAGCCGGAGCCTTTAAAATTTACCTTTACCTTACCCATTCTTAAATTGTCAAAAGATAAACCTTATCTAGTCATGCCAAGTTAAAGTACAGTTCTACCTAAAATGGTATGCTAATTAGATCCAAGATTGCATACTAAATTTGTCAGTCTATTTCAGGCGTCTAGTGCTAGGTTTGTAGTCCTTTCTTCCTCTCCTTTTTCCTTCCTTCCCTCCCTCCTTCCCTCTTTCTTTCTTTCTTTCTTTCTTTCTTTCTTTCTTTCTTTCTATCTTTCTCTCTCTTTCTTTCTTTCTTTTGTCTCTCTCTCTCTCTCTCTCTCTCTCTCTCTCTCTCTCTCTCCCCCCCCCTCCCCCCCCCCTCTCCTTTTAAAAAAAGCCCCCCCCCCCCCCCCCCCCCCGTTTTTTGCCTACACCCCCATTTTTGACCTAGCAGGCTTCAGGAAAGCCTGCTGAAAGCAAAAATGGACCCCACCCACCCATCCACTCCTGTTTTTTGCCTACACCCCATAAAACAAAAGGCTCCGATGATCGCGCGCCACAGCTGTGATCGTCGGAGCCTTTTTTTACCTTTTAAAAGCATTTTTTTACTACTGGCTCGGGCAAACTGGACCAAACAGGTAGCATTTCACCCCTACTATGGGGTCACCCTGAAAACAGTGAAGAACCAGCCCACAGTGCCACTGCCAGCAAAAATTTGTGTCGGGGGCACCCATTTTCGGCTGCAACAGCCTCCTGTAGCTCTCTGCCAGCAAAAACAGAGCTCAGGAGGGCTGCGTTTTCACTGGCAGAGTGTTAGAGGAGGCTGTCGCAGACGAAAACAGGTGCCCCCAACATGAGTGATGTTGAGCTGGCTATACCCACCATGGCCATGCCCTCTGCTCCTCCAAGGTCAAACACAACCCTGAAGCAGCCTCAATGAAATCAAGTTTGATACCCCTGGTCTATCTCATTTCAAAGTGCTGAGAACTGGAAAATTCCCATTTATATTGGCATGACTAATGTAGAAATACATTAGCTCAAGAAAGAGCAAAGTTGTGTGCTGATAACAAAGAGGAATACCTTGGCAATCCAAAAAAGCTTTGATAGGCAAAGAGATTGGCTAACTACTTCAACATTCTGTAGGGTCTGTATCAACCCAAGAAATTAAAGAAAGAGCATAAAGTATGTGAAAGTATATAAAGTGCTTTGAGGCTATCTTCAGTTTGTGAATCTGTTCAGTGGGGTGATCCCATCAAAACTTTATCAAATTGAAAAATCCCTTGAAAGTTTTTGAAAGTTTTTCTTCTGGTATAGCCAGTGGTGGATTGCTACCAGTTTACCCCGGTTTGGGCGAACTGGTAGCAGCAGCGGCAGGAGGGTTAGGATACAGCTACAGACATGCAGCTCTCTATATTCAATACTGAAAGCAAATATGTGATGGAATTTTATGTAGCTTCATCCTACACTTTTTATTTTTCTTTCATTAATTAATTTTTCAAAGTGCAGAATCCTGCAGAATGGAGGAAAAACAGCAGTTTCAACAAATGCTTTGGAAAACGTGCCTGGCCATCATTCTAATACAATTTAAGTTCTATCAAATTACATCTGCTAAAACATTTTGGATAATGATTCAATGGACAGCTTTTGGATGCTTTGTTATGGCTGTCTGACTAATGACAATTTCTTTATAATACCTTATTTACGCATTGTGAAGACAAATTCATGTAATTTAACAGATCAGGTTATTGTTCGGATTAACTCATGAGAATACTGCTAGAACAGCTAACTGCTATAATAAAAAATCTTATCTCATTCAGTCAAAAACATTAATGCTGGGCAGTTTCAATCTATTTGTTTAAGAAAATTGAATTTCTTTCTGTTCTTTTCTTCTTTCACCTTGTAAAGTTATATGATTACTGTAGGTTATTTCTTCATATTTTTCTTTGAAGAGCCTAAAGTTAATGTTTCATATATTTGTGTATATATTTTACAGAAAGAAAAACACCCTGATTAATACATTTTAGTCTATCTTGGTTTTTGAAAGGTTTTGTATTATTCCTGTCAGTGTTCTAACAAAATAATCTCTATTCCAAAAGTCTTGGAAAAATTATCAAGGCTCATATATCTAAGATACCTATCTTACTGTTACTTGGAACTTCGTGCTGAATATGCAACCATATTCCTAAACACATATTTAAACACACATCAGTTCTGAAATTATAGCTTGGCAAATAATGGCCCCTGGGTTTAGAAGCAAAGTGAGTTTCGCCCTTGGTAGCACTTGTGTAGAATCAACTAGGAATCCCATGGCTAGAGTTTTTGTTTATTAAATTTGTATTCTGCTGTAATACAAAATACTGGTTGGAAACTTCAAAACATCCTAGAATGTCAGATTACTTCCAAATTCCATGGACATGTCTATTAAATGATCAGAAATGAGCTCAACTCTGCAGAGACTATACATTCAAAGGCCACGTAACCTTTATACTGTCCATGGAAAACGTGGCTTTGCCAGAAGGTCAGCTTTGAAGTTGAAGTTTGTTTTATATTACATTATTCTGGCTGCTCTTTCCAAGAAAAGAATTCAGCTTCTTGGGCTCATTCATACTGAAGCCAGATTTTAATTATGAATGAATGTGGCCTAAACATTTAATTATAAAAAATTCCTACTATGTTCTTATTATTAGATCAATACATAGTAGCTGTTTTTTTAGAAGTAATAAATAATATTACTTATCAGTTCAAATTTTCTATTTATTTATTTGATATTGCAGACACAGTAGCTGTATATTTTCAAACGGAAAACCTAAGACAGATTTACATTTTACAGTACTTTGACATGTTCTAGTTATTCAAACTAATTTTGCAAAACAGTTCTGTTTGCTGGCTGGGGGAAAGTTGTTTTCATCTATCATTTTAGCACTTGATTGATTACTCACTATTATTGAATTTATCTTCTGATTCTTCTTAGCTTTATTCCTCAGCTAATAAACAAATATACCACATTCAAAATGTCCCAAGAGTTAGATAATCCTTTGTAGAATGATTGGTAATATTTTGTCTTGAGTAATAGTGTCATATGTGAAGGCTATGGCCTTGATCTGACAATAGATGTGGAGCATTTACAATCAGGTTTCCTATAAATGATTTCTTCCTATTTATTCATCTAAAAAATATCTAATTCTATTGTATATTTACCCTTTAAAAACAAAATAACCACCTTAGATCATACCTATTTGATTCAGCATTCAGTTCTCACATTGGTCAGACAGATGTCTGCATGTAATTCATATACAGGATATATTAAGAATCATACAGTCTCCTGTTTTTATGTGGAAATTATTCAGAAATCAAAAACACTAATGGAACAGGATGTTATTGAGCCTTAAAAGACTTCTAGATAAGGCTGAAAGAGTCTCCAGAAAAGTGACTGACCAGCCTACAAAAGATATTAGTAAAATTTTATTTCTCTTTTCAGTTTTTGGTGAAACTAACTGTAATAATTTCTAGTAACCTACTACTTTTGGACCAGCCCCTTTTTCAGTTTGTAAGTTGAAACAGTAGTCCTCAATTTATGATCTTTTCTTTAGCAAGCATTTAAAGTTTCAATGGGTCCCTAGCAGGGGCGGGTTTCAAAACTCATTGCTACTGGTTCAGTCGTGGGTGCGCGTGCACTCTCGGATGCGCCCGACACTTCTGCGCATCCGCAGAATTGTCCGGGCAGGTGGGCGGAGCCTCCCACCGCTGCCTCTACTGGTTTGTCTGATCTGGGGTGAAACAGTAGCAACCCACCGCTAGTCCACATTTACAGCCATTTGCAGTACCCCATGATCATGTGACCACAATTTACAATGTTTTCACTGGAAATTGGCATTTATTTCCAGTTTCCAGCAAAAAAAAAAAGTTCCATAACAACCATCATGTTCACTTTATGACTGCTGCAAAAAAGGTTGTAAAATGGGTCATAGCCATATCAGCCAGTTTGCAACCATCATGACTTAATGACTAAAATTGCAGGTTCCATTACAGTTGTAAATCAAGAACTACTTGTATTAGATTCACAGCTTTTCTATGTATAGATGGAAACGTTCACTGATGAAAGGATACCTTTAAATTAAACTCCTAATTACAGCTTGAAAACGTTGAAATCTAAGACAAGATAGAATGTCTCTTATGATGGCTAAATAATTCAGTGTAATATTATTATGCTAATGTGTTTTTGTTTGTTTGTTTTAAAGTTTATTTAGTATTTTCCCAACTATAATCATTAAAAATTTTGTTCCTATATACAAGCAGCATAAAATTTTGATTGCAAATTATTTGTCATTTGAAAATAATTTAAAAGACAGAGATGATGCAACGATGAAATTTAGAAAAAAAATTGTAGAGTTTTCTTTGTACAAGTTAACATGAACGTTAATTGCTAATTCATATTTTTGTTCCATTTTATGAATAATCCTGAAGGAACTATCAGACTTTCAGTATTAATTAAGTTTATTGCTGATGTTGTTTAAAAAAAACTAAGGACTATAGAAATAAATATAAATAGACTCTTTCTCAGGAATAGGCTTCTATTCCATTTACACTAAATCCCTGTTGACATCCGTTTGGATTAATCACACAGATCTGGTGAGGCAGACATGTTGATGAGATGACTGCTTTGTTCCTCTGCTACTTGCTAATACTGGATTTTATTACATATGCAGGAGCTGATTGGATCCATTGGTTTCCATTTGCTACTTGACCCTTTGTACCACACTTATATAGAAAACAGCTTAGCATTGACCAAATGAAGTCTCCTTTGCATGCAGTAACAGCACATTTGTGTTTTCCCCTTTAGTGCTAATGGTTTAATTGAAAATATTAGAGAACTGAACTTTGTCAAAATTATCTGGCTATGCCACACATTACCTCAGATCTGTTTGAAGAGTTCCTGTGTGCAGCTGATTAGATACTCTAATGAGAGTGCCATAAAACCCCGTGTATTGTGTTTCTTTCTTTTCTTCTGGAACATTATGTCTTCAGTTGTCAAACAGCTATTAAAACTAAAGCCTAAATGCTCAACTGGAAAAAAAAAACAATTGCAAATGACTCATTCTTAGTATTTAGATGAGGAAGGAGTGTACCTTTTTGTAGACAAAAGCACTGAATCCAGAGATTTTTACAGGCCACTGCAGGCATATTGAATAGACAACCCTGCTGGTTCTGTTCTGATGATATGGGTCGCCTGCTGGGATAGAAAGTGAGAAGAGGTAATCTCTCTTTTACACACCAACACACAGAAGTTAGACATAGTAATGCTATTTCATAATATGCACATGTCATACTTCATGATAATCCTGCATTTAATCTGGGGGGGGGGAAGGACAGAGACATATCGTATAAACACAGCTGTTTCCAGATTAAAGTACAGTGAAATTCTTTGTCTGGGTTTACGCATTCTTTAATCCTGTCCTTCCTTCTGCTTTTACTCACGAAGAAAAAGCTGAAATATATTCATATTGAGGGGAAAGCTGAATTATATTCATATTTTTATACATAACTGACATAATGATTCTCTTGCTTGTGACCAATTACAATTATAACTCTATACACCCTCAACAACAGTGTAGTTTGTTAGGACTCTACTGTTCAAAGCAGATTCTAAAGCTGAGCTCCATAGATATACTTTTCAGAAGAAATTACTGTACTTTATCAAATGATTTATAGATTCTCAAACAAAATAAACCTAAATTCATTCTTTTCATCATTCTTTAAAGTTTTGATATTATCCCTCTCCTGCCATATTGATAAGTCCTTATTACTAATTAAATTTGTTAAGTGACTGTTATATATTTTCACATTGTTATATACTTTCACAGCCCACAGCTGTATATAAAATCAAATTTTGCTTCCTAGCTAGTAAAATACTTTTACTGTAATCTGAAATATTGTCTCTGAGATAACCATCTTTCAAGTCTAACACAAAATTTTTTAATCTTTGAGCCTAAATTATTTAATCTGTTTTTTAATAGTTTTTAACTTTTGTATGTCTTTGTATTTTATTTTTGGCTGTTCACCGCCCTGAGTCCTTCGGGAGTAGGGCGGTATACGAATATGATAAATAAATAAATAAATAAATAAATAAATAAATAAATAAATAAATAAATAAATAAATGGAAACTTGGAATTTTCAAACTACAAATCAGTCTTTATTGTAAGTTCTATATTTTATGTTCTGTACTTGTAGTCTGCTTACTCTATTAACAGAGTTAGAAGAATTGCTAAAATTCCCATTGTTATGTAATGTATTCATTCTCAAGCATGAGAGGCTTTATATATTTCCTAAATTTACACTATCATAAAATAACCACCTATCAACGTATTCTTATTTTTCTAAATTATTATTCACAAAAGTCTACACTTAAAAACACCTACCGGGAGAATTGCTTACAAAAATATATATATGGTAAGAAACATATTTGCAAAATTGTGAATCTTAAGAGAAATGCATAGAAAAATGTATACATATTAGAGTTACAAAATGAAGCAACAAACATTCAATTTAATTTGATTAATTTAGGCACCATCTGATTCTTGCTAACTCTGGTATACTCTGCATACTATACAATAAAAATAACAGTATAAAAATAGAATACATAGGAATAAAATAATAAAAAATAAAAACTATGATGGATTTGATCAACTACCATCCCAATGCCCCAATGCAAGGTCCAGGACAGTAACCAAGTTTAATTATCTCTGGGCTAAATGAAACCTGAATGAAATGAATCTTGTTTACCTGTTTCTTCCAAGATTCTCATTAACTGCAGACCAACCAACTTCTCATCAACCTTCCAAAGAAGGAAGATTAGAGACAGGATGATAATCAATGCTACATTCATAGAAACTTACACATCTGAAGGTATAAGACCACTGCCATTTTTAATTGCCTGATCAACTTTGTTCATCTGACATTAAGCCACTGTGATTCCCTCCCTCTTATCTGACTATTTCCTAGGCAGCATTTCTTTCTTTCATCCTTTAAGGTCATTCACAGATATTATTACATTTCCCTACCCACCTCATACAAATATATAACAGCCCACCCCATCCCACTGGGAACTCAGCCATCCTGTGTTGTTTCTGCCCAAACACTTGGCAGTCTCCGGGAGGCCAAGTCTCTGAAGGCACTTACCAACAGAATAGAATATATGCAGTTCAGAGTTGAACTGTGGAGTTCTTTATGCTCTCTGAGCTTGGTCATTTGTTTGCAGGGATTTCATCACTGTACCACTCCCCACCTTACCCCAAAACATACAACTAAAATCTGGATATCCATTCAAGTAAGACTATCTGGAAACCTCCGCACTGACTACTAGAGCCTGGGAAGCCTAGAGCAGCCAAATGCAACAGGGAAAACCAAAGGCCACAGAAGTCCAGCTGTAAATCCTGCAGTTCCACCTTCCACCACCAACTGCAATGTTGGGAACCAAACAACTTTAGGAAAATGGGAATGGAAAAATGAATACCCTTAAAAAATTTAATTTGACCAATTTGATGGTTTTATGCTTATCTTTTTTCCCCAATTTTTTCTCATTTCTTTGCTTTATTGCTATAAATATATGAAGGATTCCAGATTTTTCTCAAATTTCCATGCCATTTTCTGACATGCAGCCTGACCTAGAAACATCAGTGATTTTTTAATTTTCTTATGACCAACATAATTGCTTCCTGAATCTGGATAAATAAATCAAATTTTTATTTCTAAAAATACTACTTTCACCCTCTCACACTGAGGCTTCTGTACAGATTCAGATCAGACAGAGCAGAAATGTCCTTACCAATGCTTTCGTGAACCCTTTATAAAGCTGACTTTATATTATCTTCCTAAAAATTCACTGTGAGTTATTGATAATTAGCCATCGGAAGATAGAATTTTTTGAAATAATGCATTGCAAGAACAGCTTCCTGAAGAGCAGTTAGAAAAAGGTGACAAAGCCTGGAGAAATACAATTTCTCTTTTAATGCAGATGTCATTAGTGGAAAAGGCCAAGAAATGGAATATACAGGATATAACCTGCCATCAAAAGGATTATAAAGTGGAGCAGGCTTTGAAGTTTTCCATTACGCATCACCTACTATGACTTAGTTTTTTTGAGAAAATTGAATCTCTACTCTCAACTAAGATCTGCCATACAGTATGTATATATTCTACACATGGTGCTAAGAAGACCAAGCACAGTCCCAAATAATATGATCAGTGCTTTCTTGCTATAACAATAACAAGTTTTATATATATAAACTTTCCTGTTGAACTTTCCTGTTGCATAGAGTATTTTGTTTTAGAAAGTTCTATGTCGTAAGTATTTGATCTGTTTGTAAGTACGCATATAAGCATATATATTAACCAAACCAGGGTTTCTCAATCTTTTGGGCGTTTTGTAATTTTGCAATTTGTTTTAGGTTATCTTATGAAAATGGCTGTCATGGAAATAGCAGCTGCTAAAATATAGAGTTCAAGTGCCAAACATCAGATTGCTTTTTGATATTCCTTCTAATTCCACTTGCCTCTTTCTCTCAGCAAAGGGGACCCATATTTTAACACCTACTAGGTTGCACCCATCCATCATTCTTGCTTTCTAAGAATATCTCTTGGGTGCAAGAGCATTCTTATAAATATAGTGCTAGAGGTTGCTATTTTGAATGCCTACATGTATACATACAGAGGGGGAGAACTTCCATGCCTAAGGGAGGATCCCTCTCTCCCTCCCTCTCTCTCTCTCTCTCTCCCTCCATCTTTCACTGGACCTCAGTTCTTGCTATTCTTTTCTGGTGGGTGGTGTCTTGAATATAAATCTTATTAATACAAACCCTCTACTATATTATATTGATTTTACATGCAATGCTTGTATCTCAGATAATTTACAATATTGCCATTCTATATTCTTGTATTTACTGTTCACCTACCAGTAACTTTTTTAAAAATCTACTGCTTTGGTACTATCTGCTATCATACATTTTAAATAAGTAGTGTTTGATGCTTACTAAGGAAAGCCTCTAAGGGATTTTGAACAAGTTATTAACAATTAATATATGACAACATATTCATTATTGTCCTTCTATTGCCAAAAATTGCCATGATGTAGGCATTTCATTTTTCAAGAAGTTGGTATCTATACATCTAGGACTACAGCAGAATCACCCTAAGCTCACTGCTTATGTCGCATATAACAAAAACATGAAGCAAATTGTTTAAAAGGAGTTTTTTTCTAAACATTTTTGTAGCATCAGACTAATAAAAAGGGGGGGGTGAAGGAAATTGCTGATTTAATAGTTACCAAATAATATGTAATTGACCAAAAGAGAGAATAAATAGGAGAACAAAAAAGAGAAAGATCTTTAAAATTAACTTAATAACAAAAATAATACATTATTGCTTCAAAGTTGTTTTCTTTTGTCATAAATTTAGGGTTTCTGATGGATTAGAGTTAGGGTTTCTCTTACAGAATATTATTAGCAATGTTTGTTCTAACTTTGTGTTAGAAATCCAGTGGATTTCAATGCAAAGTATAGCAGTAACAGTAAAGTTCATGCAGGTATATGTTTCAATTTCAAAACGGCATTGCCAACTGCCTTTGGATTATATCCAGCCTTTGTTAAATTTCTATATCGAAGCAACCTGGTCTACCCAAATATGGGAAGGAGCATACTGTTTCCTTTTCACCTTTCAGCTCCAATCCAGGAGCCCTCAGGTAGCCGCTTTCATGACAAACTATTTTTTTTATGTTAAATTTATATTTACTGACAAAGAAATAAAGGGAGACTAGTATAGATCTATTTCAAGCTATTTAGCTCTCATCAGCTAGCTAGCTCTCAGCTTCTGGGATTCGAACCTGGGTTTGCTTGCATATTAGGCAGATATATTAACCTCTAAGCATTTTCTATCAAAGAAAATGGTTTTCTATCAAAGCAACACATTGCAACTGAAGCAGTATGCTTATATAAAAATTAAGTCTTTATATAATCTTAAGGGATTCCTTCCCAACAAAGTCACTTAATAAACCATAAATAGAATGAAATGTGTGAAAGTATATAAATATAGAACATATGAGATGAGTTAAATTTGATTGAAGGACATATAATTTACCCCAATATAATTTGTCTCTATATTCTTTCATTTATGTCAAAATCAGGCATAAATTCAATTTGGAAAAAGCTACCCAAGAATCTTTGTGGAAA